TTATACCTGTAATTCCTCTGCTCCCACCACTAAAATTTGCCATCCTCCCCTCTCTSTTTCCTGCTGAATGCCTGTCTTTCTCCCTCACAGCCTGAAACCTGAATCTCCTGCTACGAAGCAGAGGTCATAGCTTCAATTCATTCGTGAGCAAACTGTTCAAGCTCAGCTGCCAATCAGTGGTCTATTCCAGCATCCGGGAGGATCTGCATTTATCGTGGCTGTTTAGGTGACAGATCCTTATAGACAAGCCGGAATAGAGAAAGTGTGTTTAATGACAGCATCATCCCAACAACATGTTTTCTGCAGATAAGATTTGCATTCTGTGTTAACTGTTTATAGAGCATCCAGAAGACACCAAATATAAAGGAAGAGATATTTCTCATTTGGTCACATATTCCAACAAAAATGCACACACTACTCCATAGGAAAGCAATTTAAACAAAAAAGCCTTGGAAGCCTTTTTTTTCCTGCTCCCTTTCCACCCTCTCCATCCTTTCCATCCTGTTTRTTTATCTTCCTGTCATGACTTTATTTTCTTCCTTTTCTTCTCTTCCTTCAGAAAGAGCCTGTCAAAAGGAAAACAGATGCACTCACATTTTCCTCTCAAATTTGATTGTTGTATGGGYTTTGAATATGACTAAGGATTAAAACCAATCAACAGATGGTTGGCCACATGAATATTCATGAACTCTGAAATACTGTACTTCYCTGGCAGATACTGTTTAGATATAAAGAGTATATATGTTGTCTAATCATCATGTTTTGGAAAAGAAAGCTACCACTCTCTTTTAACTATCCCATATTCCTATGAAGCGCATGTTTTAGACAATAAATGGTGATATGTGCATGCGTCCTTAGGAAAGGTAAAATGTGCTAGAAATCTGCCAGGTATCTTCATGAACCTCTAACGCCCTCTGTTTGAAAATCAAATCCTTCCAAAATTTCATTTCCGCGGCAGGCAGGAATAAAACATCTTAAATATTATTGACAGGAATAGAAATTAATTTAGATTTGCAACTCTACAGCCTAAAGAAAATCCAAGAAAGTCACAACAATGAACCAGTAAAGAAATAAGCAATTAAATCTAAGTGTTTATTTACACTCAGACATACATTAACAAGGAGAAACTATTTGCTTTATATAAGTAATAAACTGCTGCCACCTTCTGAACAAAACTCAGAATAACTATGAGTGTGGTCCTCCTCACAAGGCAGAAATAAACTGAGATATGCTTTCTAATTCCAGACTATGAGGGAAAAAAAAACAAGTTCAAAGCAAGAGCCAGGAAGTGGGTGCTCTGCCCCCCTTGCAGAGGCCACCTTGCCCCTCCTGGACCCGCTGCCACCACTGGTCCTGGACCTGCTGCCAACCCCAGGCCACCTCGCTGGTAAAACGGAGTTTCGTTTGTGTCACACAATTGGTGAAGCCATCGCTTGGTGATAAAAATAAAGCTAAAAAAAAGTTTTTAAAACTGCAGGGTTTTAATCTGAAACTCACTTAGCCTTCATGCCAAGGGCTTCCAAGAACAGCTCCTAACCAGATGCTTGCAGCTTGTTGCTAAACAGAAAACATCAGGATTTTGCACTTTTTTTTTGCATTTTTGCATATTTTTATATATTTTTATATATATTTTACTTCTGAGCAGAAAGGCCGCTGCCAGGAGGCGGCACCTCCACCGCTTATTCTTCGCTTCCCTCATATCCACACAAGCTTGCCCTGTCCAGGGGGATTTTTCAATGTCAACTCATGGATGGCGGCCGGGGCAGGCACTGGGGCTTGTGCAGAGTGCACAAAAGCTGCCCTTGGGCACCTGCCAGTGAGAGGATTTTCTAAACCTGCTCGCAGAGAAGATAAAAAGGGGCGAAAAAGGGGAGAAAAGCGGCGGCCTTTGAAACACTGAGGGAAAGACGGTGGAATGGGGGG